TTTGTCGCTTTAGGTTTTCATGTGAATCGAAGAGAAAGAGAGAGTTTTATGTTTTGATGATATCTTTGTTTTTTGTTATATTTTTATGTTATTTGTTGTTGTTGTTCTATGGTGTTTTGTCTTAAAAATTTTTTTGTTTCTTTTCTTCTTATTTTAACAAATTTTATTGCAAAATTTGTTATGTTATTAATTTATAAAAGAGTTAATTAATAAAAATTAATTTTTTTTTTATAATTATTATCAAAAAAAAAAAAAAAAAACTGAAAATGAAATAAGATTTTTGGAGGTTGTTTTGTTTATCATTTTTTTATGTTTTTGTTTTTTTTTTATTTTATAATATGAAATGATAAATTAATAAAATGTTTTAATGATAAAAATAAGAAAAAATTTCCAGTTTGAAAAACTTTTATTGGGAAGCATAAAGTTTTCGTAAATATAGGAGCATAGTTAGTTAACAATATTCGAAAGTAGAAATTTTTAATCACAAAGTTTCTTCTTATCTTTTTTTTCTCACGTTTCATTTTCGAATCGTATCTTTGCCGAATTTCTTTAGAAAACTTGAACCTTACAAGGTGACGTCTTACACTAACTTCACACAGAGCTGACATTTTTAATTCTCATTTAATTCTCGGATATCTTACCGTAAAATCATAGTTTAAAGGTTTTCGAATTATTGAATTAAGTAATTCAGTAATTCGACCAAAACCAAAAATTCAAAATTTTTAAATTGTATGTAATATTATTATGTAAATAAATAATTAAATTGTATGAATTTAGTATTCACAGGTTAACGTCAATGTAGGGGTTCAATTTCAAAACAAAAAAACTTAAATCTGGTTCCTTAGGCTTGGTTTTGTACTCTATTCTATTGATAAATTTCTCAAAAGAGAGGAAAAGGAAAATTTTTTAGATAAAATGGTATGAGATGAAAATGAAGCAGAAATGTGTCGATACATTGAGTAATCTAAAACTATAGTTTATTATTTCCTCTAAAAACACCAAAACATTCCACCTCTCCTATTTAAGGTTTCATATGTTTTCTCTTTAACACATACATGTAGGTATAATTTAAAACAAAAAAAAAATAATTAGTTGTTAGGAAAATGTTAAAATATTCTACTCAGATTATATTATTTTTTTTCGGTATTAATTATTTACAATAATAAACAAAAAAAATTATCAAGGGCCCAAAAACAAAAAACAAAATTCTTTTTATCAATTTGTTTTCGGCGAACATATAAAAAATTTTTTTTATTAAGTAATTAGATGAAACAATTTAGAAGTTTTCGTCTTCAACAAAAAAAATTGTACAAAATAACAAAAAATACATATTTTTTATAAAATAAATTAACTGGTTCTTAATAATGTGTTATGATAATATTTAATATCATAACAGAAACATAACATTTGCTAATAATTAAATTTCTGTTAAAATGATAACGACGGTAAAATAAAAAAAAATTGTAATAATGAAAAAAGTACCTGTTAATTACGATAATATCAAAAACAACTTTTAAAAAAAAATATTTTCCGTTAATTATATTTGGTTTGAAAATGAAAATTTCTTTTAAAATACACAAACTAGTAAGAGTTAAAAATATTGAAGTGCTAAGAGTTACGATATAGCTTAATAATCTTTCTTAAGTTAAGTTTCAAAGACTGCCAAAATGTTATTTAAGTTTTAATCAGTTAATTGTATTTTATGAGCCTTTTCTTAAATATGTCTGGTTTTAAAAGAAAATAATTGAATAAAGCAAAATCTTGAGTTCAAAAATTGCCTTGTACTAACCACCCGGTTGAAGTGTGAATTTAACGCATAAATTTCTAAATTTCTATATAACCATGTCGATGATTGAATTGTATAGATACCATAATTGGAAGGGTCAAAAATAATCTGCGGCGTCAATAAATATCAATACTTTTGGGAGAACAAACTGGTTTTGCAAAATGCAAAAGCATTTCCGATAATTCCTGCGACATCTAAAGTATTTTGGAAACTGTCTAATATTTGATTATCCACACTTCTTGTTTTATATTAGTAAACTTAATTTGATCATAAAATTTATTCATATACTCATAGATGCAGACATATTGCATATGCTTAAATAATATTAAAATAAAAAGATGAAGTAAATTATAAAATTGATAAATTAGTGTGCTATTTAAGACGTGAAAATTCAATCAAAAATCCTATATTTCTTTTTAATAAAATAAAAGCCGCATAACATTTTAATTAAAATATGTGAGCAAACATACAAAGTTCTATATTCATAGTAAAACCTACATTCATAAATTTTCATATACACCATATTTTACTTATATAAATTGATACGCCTGTAATTTTATTTTTTATATACATGAATGATCCATTCAATAATACCACAACGTAACATAATTACAATGCACGCAAAACATTTTAGTTAGAAAAAAAAATATTTTCATTTAATTCATCAACAACTGAACAACAACACATTCAATAAATATAGTATAAAATATATATAAAATAAATAAAAAAAAATAACAATAAAATAATAATAAAATGATATTTAATATAATTTTCCAATGTCGCAATACATTATAATTTTATTATTATAATTTTCTATTTGCGCAATAGCAGCTGCGTAAATTTTACATCACTCAATAGACCCATACAATTTCAATATAAGTATGTAAACATACAATACGTACAATCATAATATATATGTAGGTATTTAAATATGTAACATTAGTTAAAAAATATGTTGCACCAAATAAATGCAATATTAATAATAAGAAATAATAAGCGAGTAATATTAAAAATATTTGAAATAAATAAAGAAATATTTTGTATAAATATTTACATACACACGTAGGCATATTCATAAATTCGAAAATTTGAATGTAATAAAAGCCGCCACCAATATCATTCATAACAATTATACGCTAATAGTTAATATTTTTTCAATATTTAATTAGTTTGTTTTTTTTTTTGTAATTTTTAAAGAATATAATATCAAATTAGAAATGTTAAAAAAATATAATTTAATGAAATTATGAATTTTCAATTTATCTTCTACTGGAAGATGACCTTCTAAAAAGTAACATAAGATAGCTTTCAAGACAAGAGAACAAGATTTCAAGAGTCCGGCATATTTTGGTATGACGGACACTATGAAGACGACTCAACTTCTGCAATATCCGCCTGACTAAAACCGAATAGTTTCGTTAATAAAGAAGCATTAAGAGTCAGGAGGTGTGATATCGAGCGCGTTCAAGCATTAGTAAAATTAAATAGGATGAATTTTGGCCACTCCCATATATGCATACATATATGTATGTGATATCGAAAAAGCCGATAGTCTTACAAAATTTAAGCCAAAATCAGGCTTCGTGGCACCCGAACACTTATATGGCCTATATTAACATGCTCCAAGAGAAGGAAACAACTCATCCACAAATAACGCACGAGAAAGGCTGAAACAATTATTAAGTTAATTCGAAAGGCAGGAAAAGTTATATAATAATAATTCGATCCTATCTTAAGGAAGGACCACAAAATTTTTTATCTCCAGTAAAAGGAAAGTGTAGATGGCTTTTACTGATCTACTATTGCCTGAATTAAAATATGCATAAACTATGACTGCGAACGGGTTTTAATCTCTCGGCAAAAATATGTTGCCGAGAAATTGTGATGCGTTATGTCTTATGTGCATCTGAAGAAATTACAGGAAGCCCTTCCTTTGTCCCGAGACGCATAAACTTTGCAGCTTTCAAAGATTTACGGTTTTATGCGCACTAACTTCAAAGGATTAGCTTTGAATTTTATAACCGCACATTAAACCATCGTTACTGTAAGCTGAAAAACTATAATTTCAGAAAAACAAAGGAATGACTAATAAAAAATCAGTTTAACAAAAAAAAATAGTAGGTACATAAAATCAAAATAACGCTTAATAAAGTAAGTAACAAAAAAAAATATTAATTTATGGGTTTCCTTATAAAAAATATTGCCAATAAAATGAAAAAATATACTCTTGAACTTATTTTATTACTTGCGACTTAAACAAATAGGTTCTTTTTTAAAACAAAGCAATTATATTTTTATTTCTTTCACTTTCCTTTTCATAAATGAACTATTAATAATTTTAATTTTTCTTGTACAAAGTCACATTTTTTGTCGGCACATTTTTTTTTGTATAGCTATGTGTATACAACGGTGTAAGTTTGAGTTCCATTTTTATTATGTTCTTTTGTTTTTTTTTCGTAAACAACTTTGTCGTTAATAATATTTTTTTTCTTTTCTTTAAAAATTTCATTATTAAAAAAGAAAAACAAAATATCTAAAATAAATAAATATTAAGTAAATAAATGCATCTTTCAATTTCAACAAAATATTAAAATAAAATTTCAAATATTAATAAAAAGAAAAAAAATATTAAACTCGCTAAGCGGCAATATTTTAACTGTGTTTACATTTTTTTTACTTCATTTTTTAGTTAAACGCACATTATTATTGTTTTTTTCCATTTCATTTGTTTACATATTACGGCTGGCTCACACATCTTATTATAATGCTTATTGTTAAAGCGCAGTGCACCCTTCGGCCTCTTCTGAGGTTATGAATGATTTTTATCGGTCATATATATAGGAAGGTATAGGGGCGTGATTGGGCCGAATTTCATCAGCTGATAGCTTTACTGTAAATCACTTACCGCGATAAAGAACAACAAAAAACTTTTTTTAACAAAATATGTAACAAAGACCTCTACTACATTCTGAATTTTTATTGCTGACTATATCATAGAAAGTAATTAAATGCTTTTCTTGAACTTTAACATTTCAATTCTGTTCGTCAACTATGAAAGATAAGACTATTTCGGAGTATGAGGTTGTTAAAATGATTTAGGAATAGCTCATAAATAGAATGATGGCTCTTTTATATTAAACTTTAGTAATTATCACAGATCACAGAAAAACTTGCTTATAAACTTAAATATTATTAACAATTTTATCATACTTACTTTTACTATCATAACTATTGAAATATCCATTTCCAGATGAAAAGTGAAGCCTTCTACCGAAATAAATATATACTCCTCCTAACTTCTCCATTTAATGTGTATCCTGAATCGGCTCGGAGCGTTATATATAGACACATTAAGAGTGTTGACATGTCTCAGAGTGTTTATTAACTTGTTGACATGTCTCAGAGTGTTTATTAATTTTGAAGGTTTATTGTTGAATATGTTCTTAAGAGGAAGGCTACAAATATAACAAAAGACATTTTTTTTATTTAGCAATTAATAATTATTAAAAATTATTTTTGTATTTTAATAATTAATTAGTAATTTTTAATGAAATATTCTAATTCCCAATTCCTACCAGTTTCTCATTAAAAAAAAGCTCAAGATTTCATGAGGTCGAACAAAAGTAAAATTTATTTTTACAATAATTTATTTTAACACAGCCTTTAATATCGATTGCCATATATTTTTTTAATGAAGAACAAATAATTTTATTCAGCCGTATTATAAATGATTCTTGAAAATTTCATTATAGATGCTTGTAGCAGTAATGCAGACACTTATTCATACATATATATTATAAGTATAACATGCACTTGCAACAAAATATTAAAATACATACATTAAAAAGTTCCATAATATTTTCTAAACGTTTCTGAAAATTTTTAATACTAAGGCACAAAATAATGGCAACGGAAATGTTTTCTTATTATTATTTTATTTTTATTTTATTAAAATATCACGAAAAAGAAATATTCTTTTCATTCATTATAATTTTTATTATGTTGCTCTCTGTCTGCACTGTTTAAAAAAAAAATAATATTTTTTTTTCCAACAATGTTTATTAAAAAAAAAAAATTAAAAAAAAATATTATAAATAAACAAATATTTTATTTCTATAACATTTTTAAATTTATAATATTTGAAATACCAAATAATAATAATAGAAATAGAAATAATAAAAATAATAATTTCTCTTGAACTCAAAAATGTTTATTTTATTAAAAAGATGTAAAAACAAAAATATAAGCAAAATTTATTTTTAGTTCTCATTTTGTATTTAAATTTCGTATTATTCATACATAAAATGAAAAAGGCCCCATGCATTGTGAAAAATACAAAAAATATACATATATTCAAAGACTGGATTAGTGCAACGAACTTAAGCTTTGCTTTTTTTTATAATTCTGATATATAATATTGATTAGTAATATAAAATTAATTATTTGCTTTTAATTATAGAATATAAATTGAATACTGTAATAAAAATTAAAACTGTTATACAATATGTACTGTGAAAATAAAACTATTATACTGAAAAAATTAGCTTGAACATGAAGTATTTGGCACGTGCTTAATATAAAACTAAAAAATCTAGTATAGTGTGCGTGTATAATACACGAATGAATACATGTAATTTTCCCTCTCAACCACTCTACCAATCAACACCAAGTCAGTTTATCTATAAGTGTTATACATGCACGTAAACTAGTATTTACCCTTTAATACTAATTAGTCTATTAACAAACTATGTAAAAGAATATTTTGGAGAAGTTGTAACACGAACTTCTTGAGATGATTTTTGTAATTTTATATAAAAATTAAAAAGCAATTGAAAATTAAAAAAAATTGTAGCGGTCCTTATTTTAAATACAGTTTCGATGAATGTAAGCGAAAAAATTGTAATACAAAACGCTATATCTACACTTATTCTGTGTTTACAATTATGTAAGGAAAAATGAAATTTTTTGCTTTAAGAAAAAAAAAAAATATTTTGTTTTTTAATATTTTCTTTCACTTCTTTAAATATTGTTTGTTGTCTTGTTATCCAAGACAGGGAAAAAAATTACCAAGTAAGAAGAATTTGATATTGGAGTCGCTATATTTACAAGAGTTATTTGAACAAAAACTTAAGTATAAATATAACAAAAAATATTATCAATATTGAAACTGCCACGATGTTACCCTGAAAAGACTTGTTATAAGATGCCAGTTTAATGAACTAAAATAATCTTCTATTTTGAATTTAATTAAAACATTATTAATTATCTAGAAAAAAAATATGAAAGTATATTGCTTTTTTAAATTTATTTAATATTTACAAAATGAAATTTTGAATAATCACAAAATTATTTATTATAAAATATTTTTACTGTATAAGACACCCTCTGACAAATCCACATAATCACGTATTGTGATAAACAGAATTTTTGATTAAGTAAATACTTTAAGCAATTAAAAAAAATGTTGAAAATGTAAGAAAAAGACTTCATTAACGTTTCGTATAACTCCAAAATATCTATGGGCCATGTTTCTAATTCCGACATTATACGAAATTCAGAAAATTAATTGTTCCATTGCTAAATATCGAATATTTTAACTCCTATACATAGTTTGAGTAAAAAAATCCCTTTCTAACAAAAGCAAAGTAAAAGATAAGAGATTTTCGTATTTTTCATTGTTCCTTAAAAAATACCTGCATTTAATCATAAACTCCTATAATGTACATACATGAGAATAAAGATGCCTGTGATTTAATACATAATTGTGCCAAGCTTTAAATGACAAACGATTATAAAGAGAAATATATGTACATATGTAAGTAGAATATTTTTTAACTTGCCTTTCATTATAAAAAGCAAAAGTGCATTATTACAAACTTTGAAATCTCGAACTTTTTCACAACTTTGAGATCATAAAATAAATTTTTTTCTAAAAAGTAAAAATGAAAATACGCAGGAATTTGACAGACTGTTACTTGTCATAATTTCACGTGCATAATATGTATAAATGAAGCTTCATATTTTCACACATAGACGGCAATTATTTACTTTGAAAGTTTAAAAATTGAGTAATAGAATGTTTTCAATTTATTTTTGCTTTTAATTGTTTTTTAAATAATTTCAACAGAATTTTTTGTTTATTTATTTATGCTTTTACTTTCAAATTACCCATAAATATTAAGAAAACAAAAACAAGAAAAAAAAACACAAAAATACTAAAAAATTATTATTACGTTAAGTATTTAAAAAAAATAAAGTAGAGCCATACTATTGGTAAATAAATTTATAAGTAAATGTAAAATTTAAAAAAAATATTAAAATTAACTCGATTATTCAAATCTAAGTATATGTATACACACAATGTATATAAACATTAAAAAAGTTAATAACCTAATTTTTTTCTTTATTATTTTTTTTTCATTTTATTTAAATTTATAACACATGGCAACGTTTTCTTTAATAATTCAAATTTACAAACAAAAAAAAAAAATGGAAAACTATAAAATAAGAATTGAAATGTAAATATTTTAAATATAATAGTAATTATTAAATAGAAAATAATAAAAATAAAAAAAACAAAGAGAAAAATACAAGAATATAAAAATTAATACTGTGTTGGAAAGTTGAAACATAAATAGAAGAAAAAAACAAAAATAATAGAGAAAAAAATATGGAAATGTAAGTAATCAACCTAATGCTGAGTCTTTTAAAATATTCAAATATAAATGTGGATACATGCATATTATAATCTGCATAAAATTATGTTTGTATAACAATATTGTGCATCAAACAGTAGGTATGTTAAAAGATTTGTTATATCCAGTGATGAGGCGCTTCTTAATTTAAAAGGACCGAGTGTGACTGACCGAGCTCAACTGAGTATGCATACTTTTAACATGGTACACAAATAAAATGCTGAAAATTTTACAATATACTTATAAATTGTAGTAGGTGCTCGCATGCATTTGTTCCTAACTATTGAATTTTTTTTGGCAATATACAATGATTAAAAGAAGATTGTATAAAAGGCAATCAATAAAATTACTTAAATAGTTATTTTACATTTAAAATTACTAATTTGACACGTAAAAGTGATGACAATTAAATATATATCGCAGGCAATATTCGCACTAAAGGAGATCATTCTTACGAGTGATATATAATAACTACCTGAATATCTTTAATACCCGTAAAATCATGTCTATGCTTCAACTCTGTTATTATTTCTTTTTAAAAAATTGTGTGATTCCTAATATACAAAGTACATATATACATATACATATATTTTCCTATCAGTAATGTTTACTATTATGGTAATATTTATAAATTTTTCATAATATTATATTTTATACGAATATCTCTACATATATTTATACAAACACTTTTACAAAGAAAATTCACACGTCACGCTATTATTTGTTGCTCGTAAACGATTTTTTAACATAGCGTCAATATACTATTATTGTATGCAACTATGTATGTATGAATACCCGATTGCTTGCTATATGTACAACAAAGTAAAGGGAAAAAAACCTAAATTGAAATGAAAATCAAAATAAATTAAATATATAAAAATGAAATAGAAAAAAAAAATAAAAAAGAACTGAATAAATAATAATAATAATAATCGTAATAAAAATAATAATAATATGTAAATGTAGTAAAAGAAAAAGAAAATATCTAAACATTAAAATTTTATACCAAATTCACTTCAATTCATGACTTATAAATAATATTATGTTTACACAAAGCTTAAAGGTTTCCGTAAGGTATACGTCTTTTCAAATTAATGAGTGGCATTAAATGGTAATGCACAAATTATAAATTTTCTTGTATGATATATTAATGTTTCAAATTAATAAAACTTATTTCTATTTCTTATTGGTTCCTGAAATATAAGTCTTGTTTTAAAAAATTTTGACATCTAATTTATAAAAATATGATAATTTTTTTTTTTTTTGAAATTCGTCCTGCTTTTCATTCACTTTTAATTAAAAATTCTAATGTTTTTGATTAAATATATCATTTTTCCAAAAAGATTACTCATTTTTTTAATAGGATTTTCGCACCCTAATTGGATTTGGTATAAAATATCAACTGAACCTATAACTTTTAAAAGCGAGATACGCAATACGAAAAAATTCTTCTCACTCGAAAATTACATTTTTTCTTCTCACTTGGTAAGCAAAATAACGGGTTACACAATCGCGCTATTATTTTGAGTAAGTTTAACTAACCACTTTTTATATCTTGTTACTAAGTATACAAAAATATATTACAAATTTTATATATATATTTAACATTTTTTTATCCACAATAATACGGTAACCCTAATAATTATATACACCCTATTATAAGTAGACAGAATA